TATGTATTTATATTATCATTCTTATGAATTTGCATTTGCCCTTTGGTTCATTCACTATTTTTTATTGCTGACATTGTTATTTTTCCCAAAATGGACTACCACTCTATCTCATCTTTTGTTTTTGCTCCAAGTTGTTTAAGATATAAAAAATGATAAAAAGTATTGGCCAATCGGGTAGTGACAAATAGGAAGATTAGCATAACGTGCAGCTTCTTACTAAATATGAAGTGCTAATGAGCATATTGATTGTATGTCTAGTTCAATGGAACTGAAAATAGGCTTCAAACAAGACATACAATTGACGAAAGCATAGAATTGACCATTAACACAAACAGAGAGCATTGGAAACAAGTGTTAACAATGATAATTGCTATTGTGAAAAGACTTGCTAAAAATACTTTGGCATTTCGTGGAGATTGTGAGCAACTTTATGTTGAGAACAACGGACTTTTTTTGCAAATGATAGAAATGGTTGTCGAGTTAGATCCAATAATGGAAGAACACATTCGACGTGCCCAAGCACGCGAGATTCAGTATACATATCTGGGCCCTAAGATTCAAAATGAATTGATACAAATGTTGGCAGGCGAGGTGAGAAGTGCAATTGTCACAAAAGTGAAACATGCAAAATATTTTTCCGTCATACTTGATTGTACTCCAGATGCGAGTAACGAAGAACAAATGTCTCTAGTAATACGATGCGTGGATGATTCGATAGACTCGCCGATGGTACAAGAATATTGGATTGAATTTTTGAAGGTGGATGATGCATCAGGATTTGGACTTTTCATCGAGCTTAAAAATGTGTTAAAGAATCTTGAGCTTGATATTGATAATATAAGAGGTCAAGGGTATGACAATGGAGCTAACATGAGCGGGAGACATAGAGGTGTACAAAAAAGGTTACTTGAAATTAATCCTAGAGCTTTCTATACTCCATGTGGTTGCCATAGCCTTAATCTAGCATTATGTGATATGACAAATTGTTGTTCGAAAGCTATGTCTTTTTTTGGAGTGATACAACGAATCTACACATTGTTCTCTTCTTCTCCCAAACGATGGAAATTTTTTAAAGATAAGGTTCAAGGTCTGACACTTAAGCCATTGTCGCAGACACGCTGGGAAAGTCATGTGGAAAGCGTCAAGCCTATAAAAGAACAATCTGTACAAATAAGAGACGCTTTACTTGACTTGGCAAACATTGTTGAAGATCCTAAAACAAAAAGTGAAGCTGAGTCCTTAGCAATATATGAACTTGAAAATTTTGAGTTTTTACTTGGCATAGTAATTTGGTATAAGTTGTTGTATGCAATCAATACTGTGAGTAAATTTTTTCAAGCCGAAAACATGGATATTAATGAAGCTATCAAACTTTTACAAGCACTTATTTCATTTCTCGAAGATTATAGAGACTCTGGGTTTGCCAGTGCCATGGATGAAGCTAAACAAATGGCAAATGAAATGGGAATTGAAGCTGTATTTCAAAAGAGACGTAGCATTCGAAGAAAGAAACAATTCGATGAAAGTGGCACTGAAGAGGTAACATACTCGGCTAAAGATTCTTTTAGAGTTGAGTATTTTCTCTTTATAATTGATCAAGCTAGATCATCACTTCAAACTCGTTTTGAACAATTTACACATTATGAAGAGATATTTGGATTTTTGTTTAACATGGATAGATTAAAGAGTATGCCATTTGACAGTTTGCTGAAATCTTGTATGAATCTTGAGCAGTATTTAGAACATAATGGACATTCAGACATTATAGGTGATGATTTATGTTCGGAGTTGATCGTCTTGAGGTGCTATTTAACTAGCGAAATAAAAAGAGCAATTGATGTGCTACATTACTTGAAGAAAATGAATGGTTGTTTTCCGAATGCTTGCATTGCTTACAAGATTTTGCTCACCATCCCGGTTACAGTTGCATCAGCAGAAAGAAGTTTTTCCAAGTTGAAATTGATCAAGACTTATATCCGATCAACTATGTCACAGCAAAGATTGAATGGATTAGCCATGTTATCAATTGAAAAAGAAATGGTTGAACAACTCGATTATACAAAATTGATCGATATTTTTGCCTCGAAAACTGCAAGACGAGTTGTATTTAAGTGATCTTTTAGAACATTTTCACGTTGTTATTCGATTATAATATACATATTTTAAATATTTCATTTTTTTTATTTTATGTTGACAAATTTAATTCCTTAAATCTCTTATAAATGAAAAAAAATTAATTGCTTGCTATGATTTATGGGCCCAAAATTTGAATTTCGCCTTAGGCCTTGCAAAACACAGGTCCGGCCCTGCTTGGCGTTGACGTCTAATAAAAAAGCATTCAAGTCTAAATTAGTTCTCAATGCGTTCTAGGATTATCCTTTATTTTCTTAAAAGAAAAATAGTATCACATCTGAATTTGGATATGAAATGTAAATTTAAAAAGAAAATATTAATTTTCTTAATCACCCTATCTAATAGAGCTTAGTAATAGAAGAAGTTCTAGACATTGTCTATTATTTTTCTGTATGTTAGTTTAAACAAAGTCCTTGCCAACTTGCATTGAAGGACATACCGTCTATTTTTGCTTAAGCGGTACAATTTTTTAAGCAAGCAACAATTACATTAAAGATGGTCTTAGTGTGCAAGATCCTCTAATTCTCGAATAGATATATTTTTCATAATCAACATTCGCCTTGCAACACTCAAAGTATGGTTGAGTTTTGAAAATTGGTGCTTTATTTGGAATGCCTAAATATGTGGGGATTGTGTTTTACGAATATTTCCATACAACATTTGATCCACAGGATTTTGTTAGAGAAAAACGAGAATAATTAACTGTACCGTCTCAAACTTACCCTCATTAACCAATTAAATTGATAACATGCCAATAATTCATTAAATGGACAGTCATTTGGACAGCAAAATTGGTCAATAGGTCTCATCTCGAGAAAAACATCCAATCCATTCAATTGCAAACTCCACATCAACCTCACCATTTGATTTCTTCCAAAAGTTGCCCGAATTTCGACAAGCAAAAAATTTGTACCATGAATCTTATCCGTTCTAAACTATGATTTTTATCCAACCATAGGTTTAATATTTCAATTGCCATTAAACTTTCTCAAATATTTTCCAATTTTCATTGAACCTTAAAAGTTCTTCTAGTTGCCTGAACTTACCAAAATGTTATCACATCATTTACTACGTCATTTCGTCTATATGTCATCTACAACGTCTTAACTCTTACTATCAAAGATAAAAGGCATAATAATTGAGCTAAATAAGGAAAGCAACTAATATAGACAGAAAGCAATAAAAAGTTGGGAATCAATTGTGCTTTTATGATCAGCCATGGAATCTGCTTTAGTTCACGATTTTGTTTTCATGAATTGATGAATCAATTATTACTATTGTATGTGTTATAAGTCCATGTTGTGATAAGAGTAACATATTTCCATTTAGTTCAACTGTTCAAGTAGTCATGACCGAGAATTAGAAGCCCTAGTTCTCTATATCATCGAGAACAATGAAATCATAGAAAAAAATAGATACACAAGAACACATAAGATATAGAATTCTGCCTCGATATGACCATACGTTATCTTTCACCACAGCAGTAATTCATCGTAATGAAATTTAAGTTACAAGAGAAAAATCACACACCCTATTTTCTTTAACATAAGACAATCACTGTCCATGCGGGTGATGGCTGCATTCAATATTTAAAAATATATATATATGTGGAGGCTAATTTCTTAATGAACCCAATTGAGAGTTGTGAGTTGTAAAGTCCACTTTTAAGTACTCGTTTAAAACTTCTCTTCTTTTGGTAGCTTTTCTTCGGACTCGTACATAATTGTTTTCCCCTTTATTTGTTGTCTCTTTCCATGTACAAAAAAAAATAATAATAATAAAATATATGAAGGAAAAGAAAAGTATGCATGCGTGCACGCACTATATAAATACAATAATATTTATTTTGATTTTGAAAATTATTTGTTTCCATAAATAAGCATTTTTAATTATTATAATTTAAACTTTACCAAACATGCTTTAACATTTTGTAATGAAAAATAATAGAGCATCCAGATAAAGTTAATGAAATGAAATGTAAATATTCGCATCTCGTTTATCTCGTATATGAAATGACAATGGGGGGATTCTTGTCTTGGTTTGAGTTCACAGATTGCACTAATAAATTTATTTAAGGTGAAAAATTACTAAGGATCCCAGATAATTGATTGGAAGTCTGTCTCATCAATTCCCATCCAATATTTTAATTTTTCAGTAAGGTCGAGTCAAGTAATTAATATATTGTCAGTGGACATTATGATTAATGGACCGAGTCATCAATTTAGGGGAAGGGTTTATAAACAATTTTATTTATAAATAGATATAAATTGTAAATAAGTGGATAGTATCGTGGATCCCACGAAATGAGTGAAAAATTATATACTTATGTCACTTAAAATATGTCTATATGTCATTTTATTTTTTTCCTATTTGTTACTCACGCACACATACCGTTACTTGTATGTATGCAATTTGATCTAGCAGGGTTGACATCCAAATCTTCTTTTTTTTTTTTTTTTTTGGTTGATGGGGGAACCTGCAGCTGCTACCCTTCGGGTGTGCACTGAGTAAATTCTCGGGCTGACGCAATAGCTTGCAAATCACGTCAACCAGGTAAATCACACTAGATAAGTCCTGTGTGACAAATTCGATCGAGAAAGTATTGATAGAATGAATCGAACCCAAAAGCCTCCCCGCTCACCTACTCCACCAATTCGGTCACTCCATGAGGGGCAACGTCCAAGTCTTCTTATTTGGACTCATGAGGGCTGAGAACACAAGTTGATTTAGATAAGTTTTTTGTCGTGATGTGCATTAATTTACGTACTGAATCCTAAAATATTGACTCAACAGTGGTAAGAAGGGTAGAATTATAATTTACCATTGGATCAAGTCGTCTAAAATGGCATGGACTAGAGGAGGCATTAGTCAAGAAGCTCTGCCCTAGTACACAACCAGACGTTTATTATAATGTCTCATGTAAAATTTCAAAATTATTAATTATGAGCCTATTTGTGAGTGATTTTGAGAATTGATTTTTTGACTGTTAGGAAAAAAGTGGAGTTCACCTGTGAGAGAAGAAGTCAAATATGGCGGTTGGAATAGTAAAATAACGGTCAAAAAATCAATTTTTTGGATGAAAAAACCGGGCCCAAATAGGCCCTATATTACCTCCATTAGTGCAACAACTTGGACCACTAGAACAGTAGAACAAAATTCAGTTGGTGAAACATATTATTATATGTTTCAATTCCACTATAAGACTTCTTTTTTTTTTTTTTTTGGTGGGACATTTAAAGAAGTCAAATATGGCGGTTGGAATAGTAAAATAACGGTCAAAAAATCAATTTTTTGGATGAAAAAACCGGGCCCAAATAGGCCCTATATTACCTCCATTAGTGCAACAACTTGGACCACTAGAACAGTAGAACAAAATTCAGTTGGTGAAACATATTATTATATGTTTCAATTCCACTATAAGACTTTTTTTTTTTTTTTTGGTGGGACATTTGAGCTAAACTAGTGTAATGATGTTCCATTTTCACGTTTAGTGTGTCAAAAGCACTTGCGATGACAGTGTATCCATGTCATATTATGTCATGCCAATGACTAATTTGATTGTTGATCAAACATAACTGCCACTATTATAAATTAGAACACACTTATTGTATGATTTGTTTTATCGTACAAACGTGTAAAAAATGCTTCTAGCAGTCACTAATGTATTAGTTTCAAATTAAATGCGAATATTTCCTACAATTTTAAGGAATCAAAATGCCTGAAAAAAGATGTATGGAGTATTAGACGAGGGAGGATTAGGATGGGTGTTGATGTGATGGAGGGATTGTTGACCTACGGTTGACTTCTCGTTTTGATTATAACAAATTATGTTTATTATTAACAATTGTATTTGAGTGATTATAAAAGTTATGACAGACATAGACAAAAGGATGCTTTTGGAGCTTTAGCGAAAATTGAACAAAGTATAAGTCGAGCTACATAACAAGCTCGTAAGTCGAGCTACATAACAAGCCAACGAGCACTTCATCAAGTCAAACAATAAAGAAATTAGACTCAGACACCTTAATCTCAAATGTAAAGGTAAAACACTTTAGTATTTGGTAAATATATCATTCGAATCTCAAGAAAGTTTATTCGCACAACAAACACGATTTTTTGCATAAATAATCCTTTTTAAGGCATGAACCTAATTATACAAATGTCAAAAATCTTATCCTTCATGAGATTACACCCTTTTAAAACATTAAAAGAAGGAAAATTCTAACTGCCGGACACAAACTAGCCTAGAGGATGCGTCCTATAACTCTGGCGGACGTGTTCGGTAATCCTAGCGGACGTCCGGTACGACGAGTTTGTCCAACGGTTTAGAAATTGAACGTTCTGACTTTTGAACAAAAAACGGTTAATTGACCATATGGTAAACTAGATGACGTCCAGTAGTCTCGTCCGATGAGACAGAACTTTTGACGACTTTGCTGCTATAAATACCAAATCATTTTGCATTTAAGGATGGACCTTTGTGAGAATTAAAGTGAGATATTATTGATCTTAACTACTCGATTATTTCTCTATATCTATCTTTTCAACTCATTTACATTAAAAAAACTTTTTATTGATTCGACATTTGAAAATCATTTCATTCATCAAAGTTTTTCTTATCTAACACTTGAGTTTCAATTATTGCTAAATACTAAAGTGTTAGCCAACTTAAAGTGTTAGCCAACTTCTCTTATTGTACTCAATTCCGAATAGATCATTCACAAGAGAAGTCTCTATTTCTAAACTCTTATTTTAAAAGTTGTGGGTCGGGTTGAGGTTCCGAAAATCTCAACATTGTAAAAGGATCGGTACTCCTTGGTTGTAAGTCATCGAAAGCATTGTAAAAAGGTTGGATTGCACCATAAGTCAATCAATTTAGTGAGAACTGTCTTACTCATGATGGGGAGTTTAGTAACGGGGGACGTAGATTATTACATTGGATCGAACCTCCATATCATATCGTTTGACTTCTTTTCCCTTTTACTTATCTTTGCTTTTATTTATTACTTGTGGTTTCATATTAGTCTTTGCTCTTTTTCATGTTTATGAATATTTGATTAATTGCTACATTTAAGTAAGTATCAATTGTATATTTATAATTATTTTTCAAAAAAGTTGCAGTAACCAATTCATCCCCTCTTGGTTAGCTAGTTTTGGACTTTTAATTGGTATCAGAGCTTGGTAGGGAAAGATAAATTTTTATTTATTTATTTATTTTTTGAATTCCTTTTTATCTATGTGTTAATATTTATTCAATTGATTTTAGTGTTATTTGTATTTTTTGAAAATTTAAGGGAGTTCATTTGCAATTTTCCCTTATTTTTTTGTTTCATTATTTCCTTTTATTTTTGTTTATTCAAGAAGAAAGGCAAATTCATGGACTGTTTGAAAAGGTCGAATTTTGTTAAACTCAGCAAAAATTGAGAGCGCAAATATTCCATTTCAAATCCCAATCACTAAGACCATCTCCAACCACTTTCACTAAAAATTGTTGTAAATTTCCCAAAATATTATCTTCAATCCATTACTGCAAATGAACATTATCACTCTATTTCCTTATTTTTTAATTCTCAATAAATAATTTATTTTAAAAATTATGTATTCTATCACCACTAAAATACTAAATTAAGAATTACATTTAATTAACTAAAATATTGCATTTTATTAATAAATAAAAAAATATTACACTTAATATCACAATTTAAAAAATATAACATCAGCATCGCAACTATAAATATTAATAGAATAAATATAAATAAAATTATATCAAGGAAATAAAAATGATATAATAGATTAAAATTTGTTACAGCATAAGATGAAGGACAAAAAAAAAAAAAAATAATAATAATAATAATAAAATCTACATATTACACCAAATGGTAATGTTGCACATCAATTAGATTTCAAAATTTGAAGTTAGATTAGAGACAAAATTTCATATTAAAATAAGAGAGATGCTACTGGTACATACTTATATGTAAATAAAGATGTCCCCCCTCTCACATGAGGACCCTACTCGAATATTTTATTCATGCAAGGTCCATCGGTCCACCCCCACGTGAAAGGGTGGACAACCTTATGTAAAGAAAATTATGTAACATTAACATTTTCCTTCAAATAATGTTTTGCGTAAAATTGGTGTTGGCTTGGAGAGAAACTCTTTAGTGTATGGTGCTGATAAGACAAGGTCGAACCAGGTTGTAGTCCAATCCATTGGTTGATGAGCGCCCGTTTACACAGCCCATTTAAATGGTTGGCCCAATTTTACCTTTTGTTTTTCAGTATAATATAAAACGAATGAACATTAAGGGTGTGTATTCAAAGGAGACTTTTGAAAACTTTGATGGATTTGGTGGAAGTCTTCGTTTTAAAATTTTTATAAACTTTTGTAGAATTCAAAATACTCTTAAAAACTTTAATTTGAAATATAATTCATGTAAATATAGTATAATAGCGTGAAATTCTCTTATACGAGGTGCTGATTCTTATAATTCTCCCATTTTTTTCTCCTTCTTCTTCCCATATAATAAAAAAATAAAAATAAAAGAATAAAAATTAAAAACCTTAATTAAATAAATAATAATTAAAATTATACATATATACGATAAATAATTAATTTAATATTCAATATTATTAATATAATATACTTTTTAAAAATAAATAAAAATCAATATATTTTAATTTAATTATAAAATTTTTATATAAAATTTTAAAATATAATAAAAAATAGATATTTTTCACAAAAAAATAAATGAAAAAACTTACAAGAATTCAATTTATTTTTTTCATAGAAAATATAGATAAATAATAAGAGAGTGAAAGATAAATGGAAATGAATATAATTAATAGAAAAAATAAATTTTAATCATGCATATAATGTTCGTCGAAGAAAAGGCGAAAGAAAGTTTGATTTTTTTTATTTTTTATTTTTTGTTTTTGTGAAAGTCTCTTAAAATATCGTGATTAATGAGCGACAAATTTTGAGTTTTTTTCATTAAAATTTGAATACGAAAAGACTTTTTAAAAGTTTTACTTGAATACACAGTAATTTTTAGAGACGTTTTGAATACACCGAAACTTTCTATAAAAATTTCAATTGAATGCATCAGAAAATTTACATTAAATCCTTCTAAACTTTTTAAATCAAAAGTCGTTAACGAAATCATAGTTATTCATTCAACGGTGTTCAGACTTGAACGCAGAGAGACTCGAAAGCAAATGGCGGGAAATGATCCGCAGAAGCAACTCCTAACCCTAATTCGCGATTTCGCATCCGAAAAATCTCAAGGAGGTATAGAAAAATATGACTGAATAGATCATAATTTTTTTTTTTTTTAATTTTCAAAATATCTCTCCTGCCGTATGTCCTTAATGATGCTTAAGTTACGAGAATTGAAATTATTGGTTAGGTATTGAACACCTGCATTATATATTTATTTATTTTTGAATTTTCCAGAGCGGAGAATTGTGAACCAGAAGAAGCGAATTGAAGAGCTCCAGTCTGAGCTGGAGGCAGCGAATGCGGAGCTTGAAGGTGAGAAGCGTCACAAAGAGAGTACGGAGCAAGAGCTCAAAGGATACGAGGTCGAATTGTCCATGAACGAGGCTTCGATTCAAACTATTAAGGTTCAGTTCTCCCAATTATTTTGTGAAACGATTTACGGCAAATACGTTTTTAATTTGTTCTGTTATAATTCTGCGCCCTAAATGTGATGGTTAATTTATAATATAAATTTCTTTGCTGTTACATAAAATTTTGAATTGAATTTCCTTGGTTAATCATGATTTTATTACTTTCTTAGTTAAGTTTTTTTGAGTTATTAATTGTGCTTGAATTACTGTAGGCGAGGATTTGTATATTTCTGTTATAGCAAAGTTGTATAAATAGGTGATTTTTACTCTCTCAATAGATACACGAGAATGAAAGCAATTGAATGATATTTTCAGCAAATTCCTTTTGATCTCCATTTTACAATTCATTTTATCACCATTTCCTTTATGGTATCAGAGCCTTAATGGCTGAAAACAATGACAATGACATCAACACTGATGCTGATCAAAATCAAACAACAACTCAAAGCACAAACACAAACTCAAATACAAATCATCATGATCCATCTCTTCCTAACAGCCCATACTTCATTGGGGCAAATGAAAGTTCAGGAGCCCTGCTTGTGACACAAATGCTGGATGCAAACAACTACCATTCCTGGGCAAGGTCAATAAAGAGGGCCTTGAGAATCAAAAACAAGCTTGGGTTCATCGATGGTAGCCTCTGTGCACCAGCTGATGCAGAAAATCCATTGATGGAACTCTGGCTTCGTTGTAACGATATTGTTATCAGCTGGCTGCAAAACACCATGACAGTGGACATTAAGGCAAGCACGCTCTATGTGGAGACAGCACACCAACTTTGGGTAGAGATAGAGCAACGTCTTGCTCAACAAAATGCCCCCAGAATATATGAAATCAAACAAGGCATTGCAGCACTCATGCAAGGACATGACACTGTAAGCACTTATTTTTCAAAACTCAAAACACTTCTTGATGAATTGATCAACTATGAGTCTATTCCCAACTGCACCTGTGGGGGGTTAAAAACAGTGGTTAGTAATCAGGAACGAGATTGGGTAATGAAGTTTCTCATGGGACTTAATGAATCCTACAAAGGTCTTAAGGCTCAGATTCTCCTGATCAAGCCATTCCCAAAATTGAATGAAGTATATTCACTAATTCAGCAAGAAGAAAAGAGAAGGGAAATCTCCAATGATGCTCTTGCTGCTGAAGGAATGGCACTAGTGTCAAGAATGGATATGAGAGAGGTAGAGAAGAAAAATACTGGATCACCAAAGAAATATTACTGCACCTTTTGCAAAATGGTAGGGCACTCGTTGGAAAGATGTTTCAAGGCCAATAAGGATAAATCAACATGCACACATTGCAAAATGCTTGGCCATACTATCAGTAATTGTTTCAAAATTCATGGTTATCCACTAGGCCATAAGTTCTACAACAAACCACAGGTGAATTTCACCTCTACAGATCAGAATGTGCCTCCTATGGGATCTGCACAGGGGCGAATCAGTGACAAGAATCAAGTGGTTTTGACTCAGGAGGAATACACCCAGTTAATGGCTCTAATTAAGCCATCAATTAATCAACCTCATTCACCTTCTGCCAATCATGTTCAGGGTTTGAATTCTCTTTCTCTAAAACACACAAATTTATCCAAAATCTCTTGCACTTACACATGTTCTTCTGCTCACATTGATGATTTTACCACCATGCCTTGGATTGTGGACACAGGAGCCACAGACCATATGGTCTGCTCAATATCCTTCCTCACAACCATTAAAGAAAAAATTTCCCAACCTGTCACATTACCTAATGGTGCTATAGCCTTGGCCACTCACATAGGAAATGTTAAAATCACAGAAAATTTATTGCTTCATGATGTTCTGTGTGTTCCATCTTTTTCATTTAACCTCATATCCGCAACAAAACTCACTCAAGGATCTAATTGCTGCCTTATCTTTTCTTCCAATTTATGTTATGTGTAAAAATATTGTCCCATCTGCCCTCTAGCAAAAATGCATAGATTACCATTCACAATTAGCCAACATAGGTCCAAAGAATGTTTTGATTTGCTTCATTGTGATTTATGGGGTCCTTGTACTGATATTGCCTATGATGGATCAAAGTATTTTCTTACCATAGTTGATGATCATAGCCGATGCACTTGGGTTTATTTACTGAAATTGAAATCTGATGTTTCCACAACTTTACAAAACTTTTACACATTGATAGAAACGCAATTTAACTCCAAAATCAAAACCATCAGGACTGATAATGGAGGGGAGTTTAATTTGATACAATTTTACTTGCAAAAGGGTATCATTCACCAAACCACATGTGTTGAAACTCCCCAGCAGAATGCTGTAGTTGAAAGGAAGCACCAACACATATTGAATGTAGCCAGGGCCTTGAAATTTCAAAGTGGATTGCCTATGATCTATTGGAATGAATGCATATTAACATCTGTTTTCCTCATAAACAGAACCCCCAGTCCCATCCTTGAGAACAAAACACCATTCGAACTTCTTTTCAAAACCAGGCCAAACTATTCAAACCTGAGGGTGTTTGGGTGTCTTGCATTTGCTAGCACCCTTGCACACAATAGGCATAAATTCGACTCAAGGGCAAGGAAATGAACTTTCATAGGTTATCTCTTTGGGACCAAAGGCTATAAAATGTTGGACATGGAAAATAATAAAGTGTTCATATCAAGAGATGTAATATTCTATGAAAATATTTTTCCTTGGAAAGCATCTGCCACTAAAGCCAGATATGAGTCATCAAATCCCACCTACGAACCACCAAGTCCTGAAAATCTTCCTTATGCTCAGCCAAGCAACATTGACCTAAGCTATCAACCACAAACTGGAACCTCACAAAATCTCAGTCAACAAATAGATTCTCCAGAAACACACCAAAATTTTACTGAAATCGAATTGTCACCAAATGCATCAATTAGTCCTCATATGCTTCGAAGATCTACCAGAAATAAAAGAGCACCTATTTACCTACATGATTTCATATGTCAACAGGCTTCCTCACTCACTCATTCTCAAGAGTTCACCAAGAAAGGGGGTGCCATAACTTCAGGTAAACCTTTCCCTCTAAATGCAACACTTTCTTATCATAAATTGTCTGACAAACACAAAGCACTATCTATATCTTTACTTGAACATCCAGAACCCACTACTTACCAAGAGGCTGTCCAGTTTCCTGAATGGTGTGAAGCCATGCAGGCTGAAATTAAGGCACTTGAGTCAAACCAGACTTGGATTGTCATTGATTTGCCTCCTGGAAAGGTACCTATAGGATGTAAATGGGTGTACAAGGTGAAGTTTAATGCTGATGGAACAATCGAAAGACATAAGGCAAGGCTCATGGCAAAGGGTTATACCCAGCTGGAGGGAATAGACTACCACGAAACCTTTTCGCCTGTGGCAAAACTGGTGACAATCAAGACATTACTTGCGGTGGCAGCAGTGAGAGGTTGGTATCTACACCAATTTGACGTAAATAATGCCTTCTTGCATGGAGACTTGGAGGAGGAAGTCTATATGCACTTGCCTCCTGGATACTCCACCAATGTAACTCCAAAGGTGTGCAAGCTTAACAAGAGTTTGTATGGTTTAAAGCAAGCGTCGCGACAATGGTACTCTAAGCTGTCCATTTTCATCACTGAGCAAGGATTTCATCAATCAAAAGCTGACTACAGTCTCTTCACAAAGAGCACAGGGGATTCTTTTACAGCCATACTGATTTAAGTGGATGATATTATAATAGCTGGAAGCAATGTGGAAGTCATAAACTCCCTCAAGGTTTCATTGGATGACAAATTCAAGATTAAGGATTTGGGGAATCTTAAATATTTCCTTAGAATTGAAGTTGCTCGATCAGCAAAAGGGATCCAAATTTGTCAAAGGAAATATGCATTGGACATTTTATCTGATTTAGGCAATATTGGGGTCACTCCAGCTAAGATCCCACTTGATCAAAACATCAAATTGTCCAAAGATGAAGGAGAAGTTTTAACTGACCCTGCCATGTATAGAAGACTTGTGGGAAGATTGCTCTATTTAACAATCACCAGACCTGACTTATCTTACTCAGTATATTTGCTGAGCCAATACATGCAAACTCCCAGGGTACCACACCTCAATGCTGCACACAAAATCCTTCGATATATTAAAAGGTCACCAGGTCAGGGGTTGTTGTTCTCCTCATCATCCAATCTACAGCTTACAGCTTATGCTGATTCAGACTGGGGAGCATGCCCTGATTCTCGAAGGTCAGTCACGGGCTACTGCGTTTTCATTGGTTCTTCATTGATATCTTGGAAATCCAAGAAGCAAAGTGTTGTCTCTAGATCCTCAGCGGAAGCAGAATACAGGGCAATGGCAGCTGCATGTTGTGAATTAACGTGGCTTAGATATGTGCTTGATGATCTGCAGGTTGCTCATTCACAACCTGCTGAATTGTTGTGCGACAATCAGGCGGCCTTACACATAGCTGCCAATCCGGTGTTCCATGAACGAACGAAACATATTGAGCTAGATTGCCATTTAGTGCGTGACAAAATTCAAGAAGGAAGTCTTGTTACAAAACATGTTAAGAGCGGTTATCAAGTTGCTGACATATTTACTAAGGCTCTTCCTTCTGACAGTTTTTATTTTCATTTGTCCAAGATGGGAGTGGAAGAGATCCACTCACCACCTTGAGGGGGGCTATTGAAGTTTGGATTATTTAAGCCAAGAAGAGCCAAGAAGGATCTGGAATACACCAGAATGAAGGCAGCCAGTGCACGTGATGCTGCTGATTTTGATTCCAATTCTGTTAGGCTGTTAGTGTGCAAATTATTGTGCAGTAAATTTTGTATATTTTTGTTATAGGAAAGTTGTATAAATAGGTGATTTTTACTCTCTCAATAGATACACGAGAATGAAAGCAATTGAACGATATTTTCAGCAAATTCCTTTTGATCTCCATTTTAAAATTCATTTTATCACCATTTCCTTTACTGTAGGCGAGGATTGCTTTGACTCAGGATGAGATATCAAAAGTTGGATCTCAACTGGAAGCTCTGAAGGTGTAGTCTAGTAATTGAGCACAATACAAACGTACACTGTCATGCTTAGACATAAACTATCAATGCATTTATATATGTTTCATATGGGTGCATATTTCTTGACCGAGAGAATATATTCCTTGTTATTGACATGGCTTCTGGTGAACTATGCTTCAATGATTTGAAGAGTGATGAAAGTTCTGCCCGGTACAGATTTGCAATTTCTTTTCAGTTAAAAAAAATTTATTTCTCGAAATTTGAGATTTAATAATTGAACCTTTTCCTTTAAATGAATATTTTTTAATTTTTCACAGAGATGGATTTATTGGGAAAATGCTTGAGCTGAATGGACAGATAAGGTAGGTATTTGTTATACACTTCATCAATAGTTGGTTTAGTTCATGAAAGCATATTTATCCTAGTGTAAAATTTTTAAGCCTGTTGGAGGTCTGTCTTTTCTCGGTAATAAGGAATTGTCCTTATGCAAATTTGTCACATTGTATCAATATTTAATACTTTAGTTTTTTTCAAATCCTGAATAGAGCAGATAATATTTTGCAAATCCTGAATAGAGCAGATAATTTTTTTGCAAATCCTGAATAGATCAGGTTGGTTGACTGGAAGTGTATTTCATAATGTGTGTGGAAGACTTCAATTTAGTTTTTCACTATTCCTTTCCAGATTTAGTCTCTTATTCTCAAAATTTGGCAAATGTATCGCTTTCAATTTACTGGCAGGAAATTTCAAGAGTCAATAGCCTCCTCTTTCGATGCAGAGAAATTCTGTGAAGCAACATCTAATGATGGTAGGTATAACGTTTAGAAGATGGTCATATGAGCTACGAGGAATTCCATTCCTAGACATCATGTTAAAGCTTATGAGAATTTTTTAATTAATGTAAAAGAAGGATAAATATATTTAAACTACATTTTAATTGCACGAAAGATTCATAACCTTTACACATTATCACATTTATGTTTCAATTTTTTTTTTTTTTTAATCGCATTCATATTCTCCAATTAACATAAATTATTTTTTATTATGGTCTCTCCAAATTTTTCTTTAAGATAGATTAAATAGACTCATTTGTCTGTTGTAGTTTTAAATAAGCAAAACAAATAATAACACAAAAATGCAGATAAATATTTGACCATCATTTTAAAGTACGTTAACAATATATTTGAATGAAAATCAAGATTTTGGACAAGATTTTTTGATCAATGAAATGTTAAAAATAAGTATATGATGAAGAAAAAAATTAAGGATATAAGTGTGATAATGAATTAAGGTTAATGACCTTTAATGTAATTACAATGTAGTGTATTTATGAAAAAAATGTGGTGTGACTATAACCACCCTTTGATATATAAAAGACAAGATTCTGTTGATTACCTTTTATTGCACCATTGAACACACAATAACTGCCTAGGTGGAAATTATGCTATAGACTAACATCTTTATTTGTATACCCCTATCTTTTGGTGTTAAGAATATTGTTGGACTTGTTCAAAAGCAGGTTTCTTGAATGCTCCTGCACAAGATGCTCATGAAGCTAGAATAGATTTGGAGAATAAGCTTTCCCAAATAATTTCACAGACAAATGTCGAGGAACAAGAATACCACAGTGAACAAGTAGTTTATGAGCAGGTAACGAGTGTCTCTATCCTTCAAACTATTTCCAAATGCTTTATCATACTAGTTATGAATTTCTAATCTCAAAAAAGGACCCTTATCTAACCTTTATTCCGTTACGTTTCCCCATGTACTAGGGCGAATGAAGTTTTTTTCCCCCCTTGATAATGGTAATTGTACTAATGGACCTGTGGGCAGATCCAGCAGGACCTAATTAATTTGGAAAAGAAAGCACTGTTGTTGGAGGCAATGAAGAAAGAAAGTTTGGAGTTGCAGGAGTTGAGTGGATATCCTTGAATTTTGTCCAGTAGTCTATTATATCTTGGCCGCTAATCATCATACTGTATGGAAATCCTTAAGTAGATAAGGAAGATTGCTGATTGCAACAAATGAAGGCTCATACAAGAATTCGTAAATAATTTGATCAGTTACAAATTTTGTTGTGGATATTAGGGTCACCATTTTCTCTTCATTCTGCAACGATGACAGAGCTGCATTATTTACGTTGAACTTCTTTACTTGAACTTTTCAGAATTTCTCATCTCCTAAAATGATGCATTAATTTTTTAATGATAAGATTAAATATAATTCTTTTCGTGCACAATCCATGTGGCATTACATCGCCATTTTGAATTCCTTGACCATTTATTTGTTTTGACTGGGACAAGCAGACATCTGAATTGGAAGAGAAGTGCGCTTCCCATAGTGACGAGCTGCATAAGAGGTTTATATGTCCCTGTTGTCATCGAGATAATTCAGAGGAACTGAGTGGCATTCTTCAGATGAGTGATGGAAATGAGCATCTGACAAGTAGCTAAATTCAAGGATCATCATTTTTATCTGGTTAACTTGGCTCGGTTTATTAGAATGCTTAGAATGTTCTATAGAGATACTTGAAACTTCATATGCTATGGCAGCTACATGTCACTTTTTTGAGGCTATATGTAATCAGACAAAAGATCATCTTGAGCAGGTGAGGCGCACTAACTGTTGCTCTTCTTAGGTATCTTCGATTGTTTTGATATTTCAATGGCCATGGAATTTGTGGAATACTTTTTGCTTCACAAAGAATTACATAAACTTTCTATTCTATTTGATGGTTGACACTTGACAAAAACTCCACTAGTAATTGCTTTCATCACACATAAGGGAGTGTCCTTCCATTGTAATGTTTCCACTAACATTTCTTGCCAATGGAGGCGGAGGTATATTTATACATATATCTCTTTCATATCAATGCAATCAATCAAATGAAGTTGCTACCCTTTTATCATCTACTTGATATACAAGCTTGCATATATGTTGGTGAAACTTCCACATCCCTGACAATCAGTGATAGCAATGTTGATGGGACCTCTCCGGTAGCCCTCTCCTGCCCATGCTGCAATACCGTTCACAGGAGAAACTTAAGAATTGTTGCTTGATATCAAATTTATGTAACCCATCCAGTATAATTGCAGCAAATCATCTATCCTATAGAACAATTTTGAAGTGGTTTAGAATACTTACATTTTTGCTAGGAGTTCTTGGGAGGAAGGTAGTGGGAATTGTAGGAAACCTTGGATTGCCAGATTTGACTACTTCAATTCGTGTACAGAAAAGGGCTGAGACAGGCCGATGATCAGAGAACTTACTTTCACTGCGGAAATAGGAAAGTTGCCTGACTCCTTTACCATACCACAGAATCCTGTCACACCTGCAAAGTTCAAAACATAATACACCTCATTCATTTACCTTGGAAGATAGGTGGAGTTAGTTTTCTGTTTTTAGTGAAGTTTCCGAAAAAATTTAAAAAATAAAGGCGATACACGCATACTAATAAAGATTTTCTAGATACAGTTGAAGGCAATTAGGAGCTGATATGACAAAAAAAACAAGGAACGGCATCAAATGAAGTTGTCAGGGTATCAACATACCATGCAGGAGTTCTTTGCTTCTCTCCTGCTCTACTTGGAATTGCTCCTGAGTATCTATTGCAGTTTGAGGAAGAATATTTGTATGTTGGTGCGAACTCTATGTTTCCCTCTTTCCAACCCTGAAATACACCACCATCGTCTAGTTCCCTCTGCAATTGATCAAACTTCTGCAATGCTATCCAATCTTGTTGTCTTATGAAATGCCTTGCCATGTTATCTTCTAAATATAGTCTGTAGTTGAGATCTCCGAACCAGAATATTCGACTGCTCTACGAAGAACATATTTTATCGTAAGCATGCTTAAACGTACCTTTCTGTTAATTTTTGTTTACCTATTTTCTTCCATACACAGATAAGGTTATGGTTTTCCTCTTTCTTTTACGATCTTGATGACATATATTGTGGTCACTCACAAGTCACCATCGAACCATTGGCGAGAAAAGTATATGAGAGCATGGCATGTGTTTTGCCAATGGTCCGACCTCAAGATATGGTTGCTTGGTGTTTAGATTATTAGGTTGTATCTTGAATTATAAGCGAGTTTTTTAATATGCTGTCAAAATTAGAAATGTACATGACAAGGGCATAGATTTTTTTCCTTCTCAGATTCATTCATCTATCTGTGCTGGAAGCTTAACTTACTCGTGCCCTAAGATGGTAAGTGGAAGAAGATTATCTCCGTCTTCAGGTAGACGTGGAAAATATGTGCGCCTAAAAATCTCAGACACCTGGTGATTCCTTCTCCCTTCGTCGCCTTTCTTCTCTCCAGAAGCTAGATGAGCTGCTATGAAGCAAAAACTTGTTCCATCAATTGACATGCTGATGGAAACTGATCCTTTGTTACCCAAATATCCCATGATACCGCAAGCCACTGAACAAACTTTCACTCCTGCTATGTTGTATTTTTCGATCAATTCCCCTCTCATCCATACACTTATAAAGACACCCACCATCTTCTTGCTAGCCATTAATTTGTACTTACTTTGCTGCCCACGCATTGGAGTTGTGGTCCGACCACTAATACTAGGTTGTCTTTCAGAGTTAGGAATTCCATCGTTACGATTATTCTCGGCAGTGATTGGATTCATCAATGGCGTTAACCAAGGACATCCATATTTATTATTAAGAGTTTTTCCAATCAGTAGGTTCCAGTTGGTAGCTTCTCTTGGATCTTCTGCTCCAATTACAGTTTTCGCCTTTAAAGGTACAATTTCTTGAAATCTGCATTGTGGTGAAGTGTTAAGCTTAGAGAAGAATTTCCCTATTACATCAAAATCACTGTTCTAAGCCTCTGTTGGTTTAGATAAAAATAAGATTTTTAGTAAATTTTGATGAAAGTTGTGATTAAAAAGTTGCGGGTGTAATTATAATTTATTGCCAACGTTGACTTAGATTTTAATTTACTGAATCAAATAGGGGCTAAGTGTATCTTTAACGTACCCAAGAACGTAAATATCTGCTGCATCTTTGAGATTCAACCATTCATCCAAATCTACAGCCAAACTTCCCACAGGGGACCTTCCGGCCACATTCCATGTTCCAATAAAAACTCTGGTTCAATATAGAAAGCATTAAATGACAGTTTTGGTACGCATAATTGCAAGAAACATTATCCTAGGTGATCTATCAAACAAAGACATGCTCTTAAAACTCTCACCTCAATTCATTGGTCGAAATGCATGGATCCATCTCGGACGATCCATCAGCGACGCCATCCATGTAATCATCATTCTCTTCGCCACCATCTGCATGCATAAACAGGCGATTCAACCTCGAATTCTTTAAAACCTACGAAAGAAATTTTAAAGAGGATAAAGTCAACATGTTTGCCTGATATCACACTCAATTGAAATGGATCTGCTCCCTTGTGCTTCCTCGAAAACCATCGGGGCAACCTTATTGTTCTCGAGCCGTGGTGTTTGTTATCCTTGTCCATGTTTCATTAAACAGAAACATTCCATGTCCCAATTACAATGCAACCAAAATAACAAGGTGGTTCAATTTCTTCTATGTTTTAGGACAAAAGGCTGTATATATTTGTGCTCGTATTGATCGCCAGGCAAAAAGAGAGTACGAAATAGACAAGCAGAAGAATCCGGATCAATTTACAGTTCAAGCGATTATAACGAGAGAGAGAGAGAGGGTCAAAGGTAGTTGTGTTGCACCTCTCTGTGAACCTTTAATTTATTTGTATTTTACTAAGGAAGAAGGGAAACTAGAGTAAGTCTGGACCTCACGTGGTTCCATCATCGCTTGATAATTGGTGGGGGTGGGGACAAGGTTTTGTGTGAGGATGTTACCAATGGCTAGGTCAAAATATCTTGCACAAAAATAAATAAATAGGCGAAAAACCCAATACCTCTCGAGACACAGATTATGCACCTTTTAGGTACGAGATTTTCGAAAGCTGGAGCCTTGGCCAACTCATGTCCACCCAATATTGAAAAATTGGTTTATATTTCTGTAATTTTCTAAAATTCAATTCGAGAGTTGACTTGAAAAAAAGGTGAAAGAGTTATAACTTCAATCAGAACTGAATTGAAGTGAAAGTAGAACATATTTCTCAAAAGGACTTTTGATGTAGCAAAATCATATAGAAAAAAAGTAAAATCTCAAGTGAAAATTCTAACTTGTTAATTTGTACACAAATATCAAGAAAGAGAAAATTTTCTTACAATTTTTTTATGATAATAAAGAACAACTAATTGTCCTTAGGTTTAAAAACAATAATTAAAAATTTGGATAACGACTAATCCTTATTTAAAACACAGTCTTGATGAATGGAGGATCATTATTCAAATACAGTTCCAATTGCTATAAATGAGTCTGAAGGGGGCCAATTAGACCAACCCGAATGCAGATCAATAAATATGTCAACAAATTCTGTAGCTTTCACAAGTTGCGACATTCTAACTAGTAGACGAGGTTGCAATTTTTGCAGAATTCTTTCAACTTCACTCGTCATTATCAACTCCACGACGTTTTATCTACAAAAAAATGATAATGCGAACAAAATTTTAACTAGTTTTTATTGTTTAATATTACTAATTCGGTCTAATAGTGTCCAATAATAGAGTGACCCAGAATTTGAAATTGAATCTCAGTCACTTTGGACCAAAGCCAATAAGAGAATCTGCAGACAATACTTTATTTTTACTGTTGGTATAGTAGATAAAATATCCTTATTCTTTCTTTTTGTTTCATTTGATTAGAGTCTGATTACAAAATCTAAATCACTTAGGACAGGATTCGAAACTGCTACGACCAAGTTACCAATACTATTCTATTGGGTACTAAACATGCATTGATATGAGAGAGATTTGCTCATTACAAGAGCTACAATTTCCAATTTAGTCGTCTTGAAATTAGTTTACTATCTTGCACATCTACTCATATGGGACTCATTCATTGAGAGAACTAAAATATTATCAAATTTCAGAAATAAACTTAGCCAAAATTGTGTCAGATAGCCAATTATTTTAGGCAAATGATTCTGGAAAGAAGAACCCTTCGATCAGTGCAAAATGAGGAACCACATGCCTAACACAAAATGTTCCCTCCATTTGTGTATTTCCAATTTTCTATGCAAACAAACCTTAAAATTCCATGCAAATTACTACCAAGCAAGGCCTGAATACTTAGATTTCTTCAAAATGAGGACAATAAGTAAAAATTTCATCAACAAATTTCACCAAATATTCACTATTTACTTTACTGTTTTACAAGAACACAGCATCGATCCAATCCAAAAGTTCTCAGATTCTCAATCCATAAGAGAGTGATCAGCAAAGTGATTTCTCTTCACAATATAGACGAATGTTTGATCAGTAATCACCCCTGTAACTTCTTCATCGGTTGTGGCGTTGTGCTTAAGCTCCAGTAGCTAATCAGGAATTCCCTGCTCCCCTGGAAAATTAATTTTTTAAGGCAAATGTCTTCAGTTAATTAGATAGATGAGTAGATCACAAAATATTGTCTTAGCTTTTATTCAAATTCAACAACAAATATACCTGTTGTGAATTGGATCAGGTCCAGTAGGCACTCTTCTCTTGCTAACAAAATTGAGGTCGGAATTGTGGAGATGATCGCGCTTTCTGCTTTCTATGGGCTTCAAATTTTTGAAACTTTGGGATGATGAAATTGTAACAACAGTCCTATTGTTCTGGTGCGCCAAAATCCCAATAAACATAAACCAGAGAAAACTCGCCAACAAAACAGCCCCAAGAACACTCCTGCTACCCATTGTGCTTACTCAAAGTGTCAAAAGGAAAAACTACATGAAATTTGATACTTTCTAGCTAGAACACTTATTAAAAGGCATGACCGAGCACCAGCAAAGGTTTCGGATGACTCAAGAAATAGGCATTTGAAGAAGAAAGAAGGCTAGGACAAGCGAAATGGAATTTTCTTGGCAGTAAGGAGTTCACATAGGTTGAAGACTAAACAAAATATTGCATTACGATATTTGAATGGTAGCAATAGTAAAGTTCAAATTATCCCCAATTGCTTTTTCACCAATGGGCCCAACCAAGAACTCCCCCTTTACTTTTGCTTGGGCATTTTTTATTTCTTGGGACCTCTCATTCCCTCCCCAAAATTTTTCTCCTACTACTTGGCATAAAGTAACGGCTACATCATAAGAATTGTTAAAAAAGTATAACCACCCGTTTGATCCCCATTAAATTCAATTCAATTCAATTACATTATATTTTATTTTTCTCTCTCCTATTTTCAATCACATAATCTTCCATAAAATAATATTACACGTAAATCGAAAATTTTTCCTTCTTTTTCAACTACTCATTTTTCTAAAAAAATATTATTCCCCCCATTTTCATTTTCAGGTAATGGGGGCCAAACATGGGCTAAAGAGAAGTCTCTTGTTACTAGATATATGTTAAGTTATGGAGCCTAATTACTTTCCTTCTGGGGGAGCCGTACACAGATCAACCACTGCATTTACGTTGCTGTATGGGTTAGAAGGGGGTAGAGCCTCCTGACCAAAATTTCATTAGAGAAGATAGGGTGGGTATATATATATATATATATATTTCGACTTAAAAAATTGCAATAGCTGCAAAAGATGACAAATCTTGTGTGTCAATTTTTCCCCCCTTTTGCTATTTAATTGCAAGCAGTGAAAGGAAGATATGCTAACCTGTAAAAGGCATGCAGGCTCCCCTTGCCATTGTATACTTGAAGAAATTTGGGTCCACCATTGAGTGGTTCCGAACAAATCTTCGACACTTTAATTTGAAGGTGAAAGATTTCAGGAAATTCAAAAGTACTCTTAATAGCAAAAATATCCCTTGAGATTCAAGGGAAGACCAAAAATAAGCTGCTACTAAGTTTTTAGCTAAGTTTCTCAATGGATCATGGATGGCGATACACAATTGCTGTTGCTTTTTAAGTAGCATGACCTTATCGAATAACTTATGCTTTTTGATCAATTGTTTTAACATGGTATTGGATAGATTGTTAGAAACTGAACAATGATCATGTATGCTCTAATACCACTTGTTGCGGGAAGAATGAGGTTAAACGGATACGTATTAAATCTCCGTGCTCTAAAGATGGAAACGAGGTAAAATATGAGTGGAATAATCAAAACTAGGAAAATCCCGAATAGTTGCGACACTCCAGCTCTAGGTGAGCGTCAAGTGTGGCGCTCGAGCAACCTCGAGTGCCAAGTGAGCATTAGGATTCTGCTGAAAATTTTGCTTCGTTGCTCGAGCGTCTAGCTAGCACCGTCAATCCCTTTTTCCTCCATGCACCCAACTTAGACGTCTTCAAGGCCCGATACACCAAACCACGCAATGTATGGATGAATTTGGTTCACAAATCTAGCATAGACAAATATTGTGAGTTCAAATCTAATCACTGTTTAAGTTATGATTGACTATTCACGTTTCCCAATCTACATGTCAACTTTTCTTCATCATTTGTCGATAAAAAAGGAGAGATCTTTTGAGTATCTTTTGTAGTGATAGTCAAGGTATCAACAGGGATAGGATTCAAACAAAAATATGTGTGTGTGTGTCTGTGAGAGAGAGAGAGAGAGTGTGTGCCTTTAATCCATGTCCAAATATAAAATCGAACTTATTTTGCTTTAATAAAAGTTGAACTCCAACCAGCCAACCTTGAAGGCCTCATCGTCCCGACTCTAAAGTTTTGTGAGGGAGATAAATCACGGGATACTAAAAGTGTTGTTCAACATATTTTCAAATGAATAAACTTGCTCAACCAGAAAACTCACCGACGACTACACGAAAAAATCCAGATTCATTTCTGGATTCTTTTTCTCCAAGAATAGTTTAGAAAAATTGAATTTGGGTATAACAGAAATTATCTAGAATTTAACTTCAGCCCATGTATTCGAGTAACAATCCCTCCCTCCCTTCGACCATATGTGTAGAATAAAGGAAAAAATTGTGGCTCAATTGATTAATATTTTCCTCGAATTTCCTCCGGTCATACGCAAAATCGTGTATTGTGACCTATGTTCCGTTGGATGGGTCCTGTGAGCAAAGTGGAAGTATTGTGCCATAGAAAATGGATGTACCGTGACTTATGTTACCTCGTATTTGTTATCCTCAAATTTATGTCCACTTGATAACACGTGTGGCCATACAACAAAATTTATGGCATATGATTTATTTAGGATTTGCAAAATTCTAGTGTAATCCATTGTTTGTGTAAGAGTGTGACCTCCAACAGAGTGGAACAAGAGCTATATTATGGTTGCATTCCTTTATCGCCACAACTGCCACCTCTCTTCACTCTTTTCTCTATTGCACAAACAGACTCACAAGGCAACAAAAAGGGGCAGCAGCATATGTTTATAGATTAGGTTAATCTGGAATCATGTGGTCCAAGAACTTTCCTTTAAATGGGACACTTAAACCATTAATTAAAGGGCCCATGTACAAGACCAATTAAGTGAGCTACCATATCACCATCTGACCAATAAATCCAACTACGACTTGGGCCCTCCAAAAGTATTGGTCATTTTCATGTAAATTATTTGACATTTATTTTAAACCATCACCTGGATTTATTGGATGTTAAAACCCATCAAATTTCCACTTTGATAGCCAATCAACTTGCAAGTAAATAAAACACAGTTTATATTTACATAATCAAGGTAACCAATAAAGTTGGAATCACAAACCTTACATTGTATCTCGAACCCGAAATATATAACATATCTGCTTCATATACTCACAGAGCTAAGGCTAAGAAACACCCAAGTAGAAACAGATAATCACACTAATCAATCAAGAATATATTATAAATGCCATGAAAATATAATATAGAATAGTACAAATATTTTCAGACACGTTCACACAGAACAACTGATTAACACCAAGTTAATCAATAAAATGGCCAAACATATGCAACAATTGCATAAATGACCCTACGAAAACACATATCTACTCACATCACCTACCATACTCACTATATTGATAATTAACACATGTCTAACCGGTGAATCACTACAAATTCTAAGTCCACGGGATAATCCTTCATTTCCACATCACCTTTCTCAACTTAAAGTGGATAATAGGACTCCACCCAAAAGAAATGATAAAAGTGTCTCTCTCACACTCAATCTGTATAGAGTCTTTCATAGATAAAAGATTTCAAACATTTTAATCACATCTCTACTCATGATCAAAAATCCATTCTTCACATCCCCGTGCATATTACCAATACATCCTCAGGCACCTATACTCCTCAATACCAATATACATACTGGACACTTATTGCTAATGCGTCTCAATCCACTACGACAAAATCGATACCTTTGCGACCACAAGGTTAGGATTCAATTTAAATCAATCCACGCACCATAAGGTTACTCCAATGTCAATGCTTAAAAAAAGTCCACATACGATTTATCCATCAAAGAGAAGGATGAGGGTAGAACTCACAAAGAGAATAGAAAAAGGAGTTGATTACTTTACTAAACTCACAAAAACGAAGAAGATAATCCACACATGGTTGCCTTATATAATCTCACAAAGAATATAGGCTCACAAGATAAAGGAGAAAAACGAATTCCACTCCGATATCAGTTAACATAGAAAAAACAACATCCGATGGCAAGCGAGGTAGATCACTATATGCCGATGCGAGGCCGTCAACCTCCTGGGACATTCTACCTCCACATGAGACCACCTGCCCCCTGGGCGCTCTACCTCTGTGTGAGACTATTGACCCCCTAGGTGCTCTATCTCAACAAGAGATCGTCGCCCCCTGTGGGCGCTCTACTTCTATGCAAGATCATCGAACCCTTAGGTGCTCTACCTCAACAAGGGATCGTCGCCCCCTTCCCGAGAGCGCTCTACCTCTATGTATGACAGTCGACCCCTCGGGCGCTCTACCTCAATGTAAGACCACCGACCAACATGGAATTGCCTATAGGACCATCTCAACACTTAGCCACAAAATCTCAGATGAATTGACGAGGTTATGTGACGGTTAACATTGGCACAACCTCCAGACGGGAAGTTAAGATTCCCCACTTAGAATGTGGGGATAATGGGAAGGCAAATGTGGGACATGTGGCACCACAACAACTCGGCCCTCACTCGGCCTTCGACGTCTATAAATACCCTCGAGGGCAACACAGGTATGGATGATTGGATACTTTTTCAGCCATCTGAATTCCAATTTATTTTCTCCTAATACATATACTGATTCTCACGTCGGAGGTAAAACGAAGGAGAAAGCCCCCTTCACTTTTTAGGTTAAACACGTTTGTCGGAGTAGCAGGAATGCCAAACGCCGTTAGGCAAATCAGAAGGCATTATTCCACCACCATTTCACACTCTTTCTTTGCACTACCTTACTCTCTTACACCACTCACAAAGCAAAAGGAGTATGCCATAGATTTCAACCCACTATACATGCAAACGCATTACACAAAGTAATCAAATTGCTCTCAAATTTATACAAATACACATATAATAATGCAACAAAATTAAGCAATCATACACATGTAGAAAGAATTACACACATATGCACATGCAATAATCATGTTTACTCTCAATAAACCTCACTCGAGTCAAAACTAAACCTAGTAGCAACATTCGTCTCACCTCTCTCCTCATCTTTCCTTTTGTTATCATTCCTATGACAGTCTGTTTTAACATATCCAAAATTATCATAGTTAAAAATACCGTTTATTTTTTCTCTTGCTTTAGACTTGCTTTTGCCATCAACAATTTTATAAAAACTTTTTGTTTTGCCAAATTGAAAATTCACATTTTCCCATTTCTTTGGAAAAAAAAGAACTTAAAATGTGTTGTCATTTTACCAAAAAACGCACAAAATACAAAATGCAACCAACAACGACAACAAGCAAAGTACCAACACAATTCACATAGAATTGTATTAATAAACTTTTTTAAGGTCTCGTGCAATTCTAATAGTGAACAAACAATTGACAACAAA